CTCTCTTCTCCTTTCCCTCCCACTGTCTCCTTTTCTCCCTCCCTCCCTCCCTCCCTCCCTCCCTCCCTTTCCCTCCCTTTCCCTCCCTCCCTCCTTCTCTCCTTCCCTCACTCACCTTCCTCGTCGGTGGCCGCCTGGATGACCTCCGAGGGGGTGCCGAGGCCGAGGGAGTTCTGGGCGGTGACCCTGAGGTGGTAGGCGGTGGCCGGGACGAGGTCGTGGATCACGCCCTCCGTCTGTTCGCCAGGCACGCTCAGCTGCTCCGGCATCCCTGGCCAAGGCTCTGGAGGGCGGGCGGTGGGGCGGAGGCGTGGTGTGGGCGCGCGGAGGTGGGGAGTGGGGTGTGGGAGGGCGTTGGGGCGGAGGTGTGGTGTGGGCAGGCGGAGGCGTGGTGTGGGCGGGCGGGCGGGCGGAAGTGGGGAGAGGGGTGATAGGGGTGTGGGTGGGCAAAGGACGGGGGGTAGGGAGGAGGCGTGGTGTGGGGGGGTGGGGGGAAGTAGAGTGAGGGTGTGGGAGGATGCGGCGTGGGCGTGGGAAAGGGTGGATGTGCAGAGGGAGGGGTAAGGGAGAGGGGTGATGGGGGAGGAGTGGGGAAGGATGAGGGTGGCCGTGAGGAAATATGGGCAGGGGGGTAGGGGTGATGGGGATGCGAGGAGGTGGGGGGGGTGATAGGAGGTGTTGGAAAGGGAGACGGCGAGGGCGGGCGGGGGGAGGGGGGGGGGCGACGAGGGGGGATGAAAAGGACCAGCGAGGGGGGTGGGGGTAGAAAACAATAATTAGTATGGCGCGATGATGTCATATTTATATCCTGTGAAGCGCATTTCCCACTTTACTAATTTATACTCACAGATAATGTTCAGTTTGGACTGATATCTCAATCATTAATCAATTTTTAACGTAGGGCCATGATCAATCTAATTCTGCTTTTATGTATGGGAAAGTGCAATAGCCGTAATAGGTCTAGATTTATATATTCATAGTTATTTATATTTATAGGCATCTATCTACATCACGGAAAAATCACTGGTCAGTGGAAAAACAGCTAACTTATTAGCAGTGATTCAGTCAACAACTTACTGCATTATAATTGAAACATGAAATCCTAGCACGAAAAATCTATAAATAGTCGTATGAAGTCTGTTTTATGTTGCTAAAACATATCGTGATTTAGTGTGTATATATATATATAGATAGATAGATAGATAGATATACATATATATTTTTTACCACCATGACACGTTACTACGTGAATCTCTTAACTTATATCAGCTTCTGCACCAGACGGAAAGTAACTCATACTGCAATTTACAACTTATTCTGGACTCAACACTCGCCAGAAGCAAACTTATGCTGAATTCTACAACTTATACCGTCTGCTATAAGTATTAACTTACAAGATAACTTACCCCTTGCTCTACAACCTAAACCGGAAGCCAATGCAACACTTTATACCACCTGGCTTCCACTCGCACAGGAATCTAACTTCTAGTGTATGTTGGATACTTATATTGACTCATCACCTAACAGGAGCTTACTCTGCAGTATTCATTACACAACGGAAGCTGCCTTATACCTGATCCTCTACCATATACCGTCCTCCTCCTACCTGATTCTACCTAATCCTAAAACTTATACCGTCCTATACGTACCAGAAGCTACCTAATACTTAATCCTACATTTCATACTGTTTTCCTCTTTGGAAGCTACCTGGTACCTAACCCTACACGTTATATCATCTCCCTCCTACATGTACTTATACCTAATCCCACACCTACACGTACTGGAAGCTACCTTATCGATAACCCTACACATTATACCCTCCTCTTCCTCGGCTGCTGAATTACACCTAATCCTACACCTTATCCCATCTCCCTCCTGCACGTACCGGAAGCTAACTTATACTGGATGAGGTAGTTCTGGATGGGAGAATTTCCGTTGTAAGGAGCCGTCCACGACAGCTTGACGCGACGGCTGTGCGTCTCCACCACGCGCAGGTTCTTGGGCTGCTCGGGCTCCTCTGTGGCAGGGCGAGGGGGCAGAGGGTGTGGTTATTGTCGTGGTTATTGGTGAAGGTGCTGTGTTCAGGTTTCATGAAGGTTGTGTGAGATAGATGTTGTTGTTGTTGTTATTGTTGTTGTTTTCAATTATGCGAGAGGGCGAGTGTTGTTGTTATGGTGGTTATTGGTAAAATTGTTGTGTTCAGGTTTTAAGAAGGTTGTGTGAGACAGGCGTTGTTGTGCTGCTGTTTCAATTATAGAAAGTGATGAGTTATTCTCAAAATAGTCAGATGAACTTAAATTGATAGGTTGGTGAATAAGTATATATATAGATAGACAGATAGATAGATAGATAGATAGATGGATAGATATAGATATATATACACGCATAAATATATAGTAAAAAAAACATACATATATAAATGAATACACAAGTATTTTCATCAATACATCGATGATAACAAACTGGACAGACTCCAGTGACGGCGAAGGGACAGACCTTGCACCACCAGCTCGATGTTCCTGGTGTCTCTGCCGAAGGCGTTGGCGGCGTGGCAGGTGTAGGTGGCCGAGTGTGACCTGGCGGCGGAGGTCAGGGCCAGCTCCGAGGTCAGGCCACCGTCTATGACCTCCTCACGCACCTCAATTCTTGACGGGGGGAGAGACGGGTCTTTGAGTGAGGTTTGCTATGTTTTTTTGTTGTTGCTTAGAATCATGGCTTATTCTGGGCAGAAGTATGGGTGCTTGTGAAAGTTCTGTGTTACCATTACTGTTCTTCTTTTCGCCATAGTTATAACAATGTCACTGTTATTGTTTTGAATTGGTTACTGAAGCAATCTAAGTATCACCTGAACCCAAGCCACGTAGTATGTATTCAAAATCTATCTAGTCTTTACATAGTATAAATGTATCATTTTTGTAGTACATAGACTGACGTCCTCTCTGACGGAGGCGTCCTTCCCTCCCGTCCACGGCGCCTCCTCACCTAGAGTCCTTGTGTGCCCACCTGGGGTCGGCGTGCGGGTCCAGGCGGCGGCCGTCGACGGACCACAGGATGTCGATGGGGCGGTCGCCGCGGGCAGGACACCGCAGCACCGCCGTCTGCCCGATGCGCACTACCTCTCGCCCCATTTTCTCCGGGAAGTGGGCCGGTGCTGGGGACACGGAGGGCGGGGTTAGAGGGGCCCTTCTTGAGGTGATTCTCTCTCTCTCTCTCTCTCTCTCTCTCTCTCTCTCTCTCTCTCTCTCTCTCTCTCTCTCTCTCTCTCTCTCTCTCTCTCTCTCTCTCATTCAGTGACTCACTCTCTCCATTTAAACTACAAAAGTTAAACGACATGACATGACTGAGGCCACGGCTGATAATTATCAAGGCAAAGACTCTGAGGCAACTTTAAGGGAGCTCGTTATATTCAGACTCAAATCCCCAGCCAAGGCAAGCACTCACCCAGGACTCGCACGACTTAACACTCAAGGGACTCCCTGTTCCAGTTCAGGAGGGCCCGAATGCGGACGCCCTCCGACTCACCGTTGACGGTGAGGTAGACCACCTTGCTGAGTCCGGCGCCGATGCCGTTGTGCGCCTGGCACAGGTACTGGCCCTCCGTCGACTTCTGCACGTTGCGGAAAACCAGCGAGCCGTTGTTGAAGACCTCGACGCGCGCGCCGTACACCAGCTCGTGGTAGTCGCCCTGGCCCGAGGCCGAGGCGCCGCTGCTGCTGCCGCTGCCCTCCTCTGCGGGAGACGCCACCGGAGGTTAGCTCGAGAGGGAGACGTGGGCGGGGTGGTATTGGGACTTGGGGTGAGAGCGAGGAAGGGGAAGGGGCAGTGCGTGCAAAGGGGGAGGGGGAGGCAGAGGGATGTAGGGGGCAAAGGAGTTAGAGGGAAAAAATGTATATGAAATAAGCAAAAGTATGAGAACGAGTGCAAGAATCGCAGAGAAGGCGACACAGAGAGCGGAGAGCAAAGAGTACAGACGAAGCAGACAAACACTGAGAGGCTCACCCGTGGCCTTTTTCCACGTGACGGAGGGCGTCGGGTAGCCGTCGGCCTGGCAGTTGAGGGTGACGGTGGTGCCCTGCGCGGCGCCCGTGTCCTGCGGCTCCGTCACCCAGTGGGGCGGCACTGGGGGAGGCGAAGGACTTTAGCTTGGCTCGAGCAATGACGGAGACACCTTTGTATAAAACAAAGCTGAAGGAAAACAATTAGTAAACACTTAATCAAGGGAATAAACAGGAAAATCCGCGATGTTTCTGAATCCCCGAAGGCGCTGTTTCTCCAGCCTAGCCTCTCTGGGACTTCCCTTCCAGAGTGCCCACTACCCTTAGGGACACTCTCCCTCCGTCCCTTCCTCCCGAGGATCCCTCCGACCAGCCCACCTCCTGCAGCGCCTGCCGCAGGAGCCTTACCGTTGACGGTGAGCGTGGCGGTGTAGGACCTGGTGGCGGCCGAGTTGGAGGCGAGGCAGGTGTAGTCGCCGTTGTGCCTCGAGCTGATCTTCTCGATGACGAGCTGCGTCTGGTAGTCGTCCAGGAGGCGCGTCGTGATGCCGTCGTACAGAGGCACCGGCCCGCCGTCCTTCTCCCACCTGGAGGCACGGAGGGGGTCAGGGGAGGTCTGTTTAGGTGGGGTTTCTTAAGCGGGTGGTTCTCGTGATATATCATTTTCTCTTATCTCTGCTTGGTATGTGTTTCTTTCGCCTCAGATTCATCCAAAGAGAATGTGCTTTGAGCGCTAACACGTATGGGACACACAAACAAAAACACGGACAGAAATACATCCGCCAAAGACACACACATTCTCAGGCTCTTCCGAATATCCCACGCGCGTCATTCTCTCTCAGAGATAAAACAAAAGCAGAAAGAAAAGCGTCTGCGTGTCTGTGGGGAGACGCGGGGGACAGAAGCTAATCGCTTTCGCGTCAGTCTCGCTTCGGCTTCGAAGCAGGAGTCTGAGCAATCAAATCTTTCGTTTCTTGGACGGCTGCTGTAAATTCTAAATACACA